CTCCCAGCGCTGCCGCTCCTCCCGCTGCGCCTGCTCCCGCTGCTTCCGCTGGGCTTTCTGTGCCCGCTTCTTCTCCAGCTTCCTGGCCTCCATCTCCTGCGTCAGCGGCCCCGGCACCTGCGGGCAGAGGGCAGTCAGCATCTCCCACTGAGCCGGGGGCAACGGCACCAGCGGGCGAGGGGCGCTTCGCTCTGTGTCCCCCAGCCCGTGGAGGGCGAGGGCAGAGGTCGGGAACACACCTTGGCACGGCTGTAGTCATACTTGTCTGGGTGGTCCACCATGAACTTACGGAAGGCATTGCGCGTTGGTTTGTCAGCAGAGACGCAGTAGGGGGTCCTGTCCTGCCCGTCTCTGCAAGACAAGGAAGACCAGCTCACCCTGCCATCTTACCGCCTGTGTCCCACCAGGTTGCGAGCCCAGAAACTTCCCAGGGATGTCCGATGGGTACCGCAGCCAGCGAGAGGAAAGTCGCTTATCCCTATAGCAGAATCTCCCATATCCCCTTTTTGCATCTCAATAGCCCTGTAAAGGGTGGATTCATCCCTACCCTCTGAACTATTTACCAATAAACCTGGGAGAACTTGGGGGCAGCATCCGCTTGCTGCTGTGCCAGACCAGGGAGGCAGAGAGGACCATGGTTCGGCCCTTAGGCCTCCCATAACAAACCCAGACATCCCGGCTGGGAGAGGCCAACCTGGGCCATCCCAGGATGCCAGTGGCAGAGACAGGAGGGAGCTGTGGGGCTCCTATAACAGGGGCCGTGTTCAACAGCACCTGGGCACCCTGCAGCCTTACCTGAGGGCAGGGTCCACCCCTGCCTCCAGCAGCAGGGACACGGCCTCGGCCTTCCCCGCCTGAGCTGCCACATGAAGCAGGGTGCAGCCATGCTCATCTACAGGCTGGCTGAGCAGGGAGCAGGGCATATCCAGGGGCCGTGTGCCCTCCTCGTCCTCAAGCAGGTCCCCGCTCTCTGGCATGCTCAAGAGGTGCCGCAGCATCCCCACATCCCCTGTTTTGCAGGCGGTGAACAGGGCGTCACGGAGCTGGGTCCGAGGATCTCCTGTGAGGGAAGAACAGGAGCGAAGTCTGATGGCTCCCTGGTCTGACCGAGAAACACGCAGAGCACAGTTAAAGCATTGTCCCTCTGGATGGATTTTGGCACTGCAGGATGTCCGGCACCTTCAGAGTCTGTGACAACATGCATTGCTGGGTGGTGCTGGCAGCAGCCGAGCCCTCTCCCGAGATGAGGCCTGCTCCAATCCCCCCCAGCAGGCCTGGCTCAGCGTGGCACTGCCCACACCCTGGTTCAGAGGTACTGCTCTGGACGCACAGCTCGCTTGCTGCTCTGGATGCCTGCCTGACAACGTGCTCTTCACCCCGCTACAAAGCCGCCCACACACCCGGCCCAGTCCCCAATGCCTCCTACCTCCATCTCCCCAGGGGAGTGGCTCAGTCCCTGCCTCCCCCTGCAGCTCTATCGCCAGCTCCAGGCCAGGCTGCCCGCACCGGGTACCGCAGCTTCCCGTCTCTTCGGCACGGGGCCCTGCACGGAAAGCTCGTGGTGAGGAAGAGGGCTGGGGCCCGCCTGCACCTCAGCCATGGCAGTCCTTTCCTCAATGCCCTCCTACACTGACCCTGACCAGTTCTTTCCCCTCACCTTTCTCCACCTTCTTGTCCCTCTTCTTCCTTTTCTTGCGGTTTCGCTTGGGCATTGCTTCAAACTCCTGCAGGTGCAAGGTCCCCAGAGTCACTTCCACGGTCTCCAGTTCACCTGCAGGGCTTCCCTCCTCATCCTCCTCTTCCTCTTCTGGGGCTGAGAGAGGTGATAAGACAGGGGCTGAGGCCCCCCACACCACACAAATCACCTGGGGCTCTCAGCCAAGCACAACCTGCCCTTCTCCTGGCCAGCACAAGGCAAGGCAAGGCCATGTGCTGCAGATCCCCACTGTGGTGCCAGGCCCTGTCCCAGAGCTGCAGATCTGGTCCCGTGCCCTAACACGAGACTCCTCTGCTTGCTCCATGGCTTGACTCACCATGTGTGTCTTCCTGTGGGGGTTCCATCTCTGCTTTTCGCCGCCTCTTCTGCCAGCCCTTCTGGGGGGACCCAGTAATGTCCTCCAGCGGCGTGTCCTTCCCTGGGCAGCAAAGGTGCTCCTGTCATTGCCTGGGCACAAGGATCGCCCCACATCTCCAGAATTGAAGGCTAGAGAGCTGGCACCTTAACCCCATAGGGCAGCAACCCCAAACACGCAAGGGATTACACAAGGGGCTGCATCACCTCGCCTGCTCTGACCCACGGGAGCCAGGCTGACTCACCATACACCTGCAGACTGGCCAGCACAGCATGGACTCGCAGCACCTCTCGCAGGGTGGCTCTGCGGGTACTCAGGGGGATGTGGCAGACACGAGGGTCGCCCCAGGTGAGGGGCGGGTTCTTGCCGCCAAAGAGCAATGCACGGTTGTGACGAGGAGCACGGAGGAAGATGCGCTGAGCTTCCTTCAGGTGCTGCGCCCAGGCTGCCAGCAGCTCCTGAATATCCTGAGGAGGAAGAAGCACCACGGGGTCCTGAGGACACCATGTGGGCGCAGGCAGACCTGGAGCAGGGACAAACCCAGGACTAAGCAGCCTCAGTTGGGCCCCAACCCCTTCTGGAGTTGAC